ATCAGTTAAATAAATAAAAGGGCAAGAGCGGGGAGGGGCAGAGGAAAGGGAGAAGGATAGGGTGATGGAAGGCTGAACTGAAGCATGTTACTTGCATGTGTGTGTGAAAATGCATACATAATGAAGCCCATTAAAACTGCTAAAATAACACACAGGAATGTGCATGAGTGATAGGCGGTTGCTTAGGAAACCATTCAGAGTAAGTCTGTAGAGCTAGTTTCTCTGATGCCCTGAGCACGAAAACCATGTGCAAAGAATATGTGGCAAAATTCCTCCATTTTAAAGAATGAGCAGTTTGGAAGACCCTTTAAAGAGGAATTAGGAGTTGGTTTGGTCATGCTAGCAACATGAAGGCAGGCTTATTTTTCTTGTGCTGTTTTCCTATCTTTAAAGTAAATGAGGTGCACAAAATAAGCTCGAAGGCCATTCTGTAACGTGCATTCTGTGATCTAGGGATGTCCAAGTATGTGTGTGAGGTGGTCCAAACCCACTTGATTAAAGTCCTCGTGGAGCTCACTGATTTTATACACCATTGATACAATGAAGTATGAGGCCGAAATGGCCAGCAATTGTGGACCTAGCAGTGACCTGAGGGGATGCGATGCTGGAGCCTCCTCTGTCACTAATTTGAGATTAGAGAGTAAAATCTCTGGGGCCAGAACAGCAGGGGGCCAATCATGAGGTGTGAGTAAAAGTCTTGTCTTTATAATTGGATTAATGAGAGAGAAAGAGAGAGAGAGAGAGGGAGAGAGAGGAGAGAGACAGAGACAGAGATAGAGAGACAGAGAGAGGTTCCTTAACTTCTGAACAAAGCAACAGGGAAACTGATTTTTGTTCTTCTTAGAAACTCCCCAAACAACCTCCCCAGACAGAGGATTGAACTCTCTCCTATTTTCCATTTTGTACAACTTAAATGCAATAAGCCGCTCAGTCCAGCAAACATTTCCCATGTTTTTTCCTTTTCCTGAGGTTTAGGGTAACCCAAATTGATCTGTTTTCCCCCAGCAGCTTTCCTAGTTAGGAAGTCACAAAAGTGCTGGAATTGTCACACAGAAGCGGCAGCACTGGGATCACCTGGTGAGTCTTAGCATTTAGCAACATTTTTATTTTCCTTCCTTCCTTCCTTCCTTCCTTCCTTCCTTCCTTCCTTCCTTCCTTCCTTCCTTCCTCTCTCTCCCTCCCTCCCCTCTCTCTTTCTTTTTCTTTTTGTAAGGTACTCAACTTGAATTCAGGGCTGCTTCTGTGCATATCTGGCATTCTACCACTTGAGCCCCACCTCCCCTTGCAGCCTTTTGCTGGTATCAAAGGTGATTCTCAGATTTCAGCCTGCTGAAATTAGGATTATAAGTGTGAGCCACTGGCACTCAGCAGTGTCTTTTATGGGTGGAGCAGGTTCTGACTCCATTGTCATGGATGGGAAGACCTTTCAAATGCACTGGTACCTTTTATTGGTGTAACACTTGCTGTACATTCTTCCACACTGAGAACCTTTCTTACATCTCACAGTCAGCTGATGGCCAGACCTTAGATATTACTTCATTAATTTGGGGGGGTGGGGGGGATGGGAAGGGATGGGAAGGGGAAACAAAGGAGGAGGCTACAATGCTTGATAAGAAATGTACTCATTATCTTGCCCATGTAATTGTAACCCCTGGTAACTATCTGGTAAAACAAACAAGTTGCCTTACTGCTTGCTTAGAGCAGATGTGATGATCGTTTTCACCAGAGCCCACTGGTAAATGGCCAGAGTGGAACAAGCATTTTCCTCTCTCTCTCTTTATTTTTGTGTGCCAGTCCTGGGGCTTGATTCAGGGCCTGCGTGCTGTTCCTGAGCTTTTGTGCTCAAGGCTAGCCCCCAACTGCTCTCCCACTTAAGCAGCTAGAGTGGAATAAGTATGATATTAGTTCAGGAATATTCTTTTGAGAAATTCAAGGGATCTGGCTATGAACTTCTTATGGCTGAACTTCTGTGGAGGAAATAAAGGTATGAGGCCCACATGAGCAGGAATGGATCAAAGCCTATGGAAAAACCCAAATTTTGGCTTGGAGGCATGGATCAGTAGCAGGGAGCTTGCTTAGTGTGGGTGAGACCCTGGGTTTGATTCCGAGTGCTGTGCAAAGAAATAAAAGACACCTCATTTTTTCCTGAGGTGAAATATTGAACCAAGATCTATAAGTTTTAGACCAGCCAACACTGACACAATCCTTATATTTCTTTGACCATTTTCTTTTTAGATTTTTTAAAATGGAATTATTTTATGTGTTCTTGGGGAGACTTGGTACAAATAAATCCGTTTTATGACTACAAATGATGTGGAAGATAAGGTTAGAATCAAGGAATCCAACCACATTTGAGGTAAGTTCATTCACTACATCTCTCCTGGGGTTTACGCAATTATTTTCACAAAGAAGAGCTTGTTCTTTTTTTTTTTTTTTTTAAATCATCACTCACACAGCCTGCCCTGTGTTGTTTAGAGGATTACCTTGCTTTGGAAGTAGGTACAATAGCAGATGGCTGATTCAGGATCTATACTTAAACCACTCACAGACACCCTCGGTACTCTAGATCTGTGCAAGGTGACACAGAGGATGTGGGACACTTAAGCAATCTTTAAGGACTTATGATTTTCCACTGCAGAGATCTCATTGATGTTTGTGAACTACTTGGAGAAGAATTAATCTTTGGTGACAGCGTGCTCCCAAGTTTCCAAGGCAAATTATCTATCTATCTATCTGTCTGTCTGTCTGTCTGTCTGTCTGTCTGTCCGTCCGTCCATCCATCCATCCATCCATCCATCTATCTATCTGTCTGTCTGTCTGTCTGTCTGTCTGTCTATCTATCTATCTATCTATCTATCTATCTGTCATCTTAGCTTATCTGAGTTAATATGCATGACCTCTTTTTCAGGGCCTCTAAGCTCCACATACTTTATGGGTAGATATTGTAGACAATTGAAGTTCGACCACATTATTTACATTATTACGTTTCTTATGCATTCTCCTATAATAATAGCAATAATAATAATAATCCTATTCTGCTTCGCTTTGTCTTTATTTTAGACATCCTTTCCTCTTTCTGTAGACTTCTTCCTTTTTGGAGGTCTCTATGGAATGAGAATCAGGGAGAGGAATCAATGGATGAAATGAGCTATGATGCAAGTGTTAAGCAGAGGTTATGAAACCTGATTTTCATCTTGGCTCTGAACCAACCAGCTATGAGATTTTGGGTCCCAGATTCCTCTTCAGGAGGATGAGGAACTCATAACTTTTCTTTCAAAATTGTCAATTCTTCTGCTCAGAAGAGGAACTTGGAAGGGGCAGTAGCTGTATTTGATTTGTCTGTGACAGGGTATCTTTGCAGAAAGGAAATCTGGGAAAGGCTCATTGGACAAATCTCATTTTGCAAAACTTCACAGTTCACAGATTTCCATGATAGGCAAAGTCAAACAGGAAATCAAAAAGTGAGGGATCAGATTTACTTTAAAGATTTGAAAAATGTTGGGGTTAGTCTATGCTAAGCTTGCATGTTCATCCCTACCTTAGGCTTTTCTTTTTTTTTTTAATTTTTTATTGTGAAAATACCATACAGAGAGGTTTCAGTTACATGGGTAAGGTAATGAGTGCATTTCTCATCAAGCATTGTTGCCTCCTCCTTTGTTTCCCCTTCCCATCCCTTTGTCCAGTTAACTTGCTGTCTGATAGCAATATTTAGCTTTCAGAATCTCTAGTTTGGCTCCACCATTTAAAACAGAACTAAAATTACTTTAAATGTTGTAGGCAAAAGTCAGTAGCTAAACACTCTGATGACCCCTTTAGAAATTATATCAAATCACATTTCACTTTATATAGAATCAATAATTGTTGATTTCTTTATATGTTTCTTTCATTTCAAATCATTCAAATTTTAACTTTTTGAGGAAAGTTTAATAGTCTTGAGAAAAGATAAAACTATTTTTTTCTATATCTGAAGATTAAAACTCTTCTTGAAAATCTGGTCAGGGTACCAGTCTTTGACACCTCAAATTAGAAGCAACTATAGAAATCACATTTACTTTCAAGCTAAATTTCACAGAACATACTCAGCTGGTGTTAGTAGACATTTTTTCCTCCAAGAGAGTGAAATTTTCTCACTGCCTCCTGCTAAACATCCTATGTGTGAAACACAGACACATAAGCTGGTTCCAAGAGAACCATGGGTAGGTGGTCATGGTGTGTGTGTGTGTGTGTGTGTGTGTGTGTGTGTGTGTGTGTTTTGTAGGGAAAGGGCACAATAATCAGGGGGATAAAATCATGCTTGATTGGTGTGTTAGAAAACTGAGGCACAGAGAGATTGTTAGTTGTTAAGGCTCAGACAACTCTTACTTGAACTTAAACAACTCTTACTTGAGCTGAAGGAGTGTAAATGCTTCTTCCATCTCTTATTTCTGCAGTGTCTTGAAGCAGTGTGTGAAACAGCATCATACTAGTTTTGCAATGCAGGGTGGAATGAATTTTCTATATTAGATGCTGAAGTTTCTCAAGTACCATTGTACTGCAGCTTGTGAAACTAGCCAGACATCAGAAAGAGGCTAAAAGTAAGAAGGGACAGAGACAGGCCCTGGGCATCTGCCACTGTCCTTAGAGGTGGATATGGAGAAGGGGAAATGTATAGTGAGAAACAACAAGACAGAGCATCATTTCAACTGTTAATTAATTAGGTTGAAATAAAATCACACAGCAAAATTTGTTATCTTTATGGAAGAAATCAGTTAATGACTATTCCTAGATCACAGAAAACTCTTCAAAGTCAAGTTGCATCCTGACTGTAATCTCCAGCAGTGGATGCTGGTTGTTTTAGCCCATGGTTTGTGAAGGCCATGCTTTGGGGGAAAAAAATCAAGGCAGAGAGGGAACTCAAGACAAAGCAGAGTGACATTAGACCTCAGGGCCTGATGTTTCTGATGACTAAGGAGAGCTTTGATTTCTGTATTTCTAGGCAGTCAGCCTCTGAGCTTTAAAACATGGCTGCGGCAAGCAACGTGACTGAAATCCTTTTCCTGGGATTTTCGCAGAACCAGAATGTGCAGAAGGTCATTTCTGTGATATTTCTCCTCTTGTACACAGCGATTGTGTTGGGCAATGGCCTCATTGTAGTCACTGTCACAGCCAGCAAAGGACTCACCTGCCCCATGTATTTCTTCCTGAGCTACCTGTCCTTGGTAGAGATGTGTTACTGTTCTGTCACAGCCCCCAAGCTCATCTTCGATTCTTTCCTGAGGAAGAGAGTCATTTCTCTTCGGGGCTGCATCACACAGATATTCTTCCTCCATTTCTTTGGTGGCACGGAGATCTTTCTGCTGACCGTGATGGCCTATGACCGCTACGTGGCCATCTGCAAGCCTCTGCACTATGTCACCCTCATGAACCGCAGGGTGTGCGGCCTCCTGGTGGGAGCAGCCTGGGCTGGGGGCTTGCTGCATTCCGTTGGGCAGACCTTTCTCATTTTCCAGCTGCCCTTCTGTGGGCCCAATGTGATTGATCACTACTTCTGCGATGTCCACCCGGTGCTGAAGCTGGCTTGCTCAGACACCTTCCTCATCAGCCTGCTCATCATCCTCAACGGCGGCTCCATCTCGGTGGTCAGCTTTGCAGGGCTGCTGGCTTCCTACGCGGTCATCTTGAGCTCCCTGCGGAGCCGCACGGCCCAAGGGCGGCGCAAGGCCCTGTCCACCTGCGCCTCTCACCTGGCCGTGGTCGGCCTGTTCTTCATACCCTGCTCCTTCGTGTACATGAGGCCCTGTGTCACCCTCCCTGCTGACAAGATCGTGGCTGTCTCTTACACGGTGATCACGCCTCTCTTAAACCCGGTCATTTACTCCTTCAGGAATGCTGAGATGAAGAACGCCATGCGCCGACTCGTGAGCAGGACGGTGATTTGGGAAGAGAAATAGACGCCTTGAAGCATCCTAGGGAGCAGGGATGGGAAATTGGGGGTACCCACATCCCATTCTGCCTCTCCATTCCCCGGGACATCTTTATGGGATAGGACAAGGTCGAAGTTCTCTAGTGCCACAGTGCTCTGGAAGTAGATGGTCTAGTCCAGAGAGATTGAACTCCTACAGCAACTGGGTCTGTGTGGGGGAGGAGGGGAGATGGAGGACTGTCTCAGAGAACAGTGGCTTTATGGAGCTCAGAGCACGAGAATGAAAGGGCAGCGAAGGACTCCATCAGTCAATGCCTGCATCCCTAGAAACTCTACTGAGAATCGCCCCATTGACTCCATCAGTCAATGCCTGCATCCCTAGAAACTCTACTGAGAATCGCCCCATTGGGCTCAGGTACAGGGAAACTGACTTAGAAAGCTGTGATCCTCAGATTAGATATTGAGTCCATCTGAAGGTCACACCAGCTCATGCTGGAAATTTTAAAGCAATGAATGGAACAGCAGGGTGCTAGACAACTCTGTAGGTGCAAGTTCTATGTCCCATGCACCATTAACATTTTTAACATTTCTTTTTTTTTTTTTTTTGGGTCAGGTTGTGGGGCCTGAACTCTGGGCCTGGGTGCTGTCCCTCAGCTTTTCAGCTCAAGGCTAGCGCTCTACCACTTGAGTCACAGCGCCACTTCCAGCTTTTTTCTTTTTGCTTATGTGATGCTGAGGAATTGAACCCAGGGCCTCATGCATGCAAGGCAAGTGCTCTACCACTGAGCCACCTTCCCAGCCCCATTTTTAACATTTCTTTCCCCACCACTGGCTCCTTCTGAACCATCCGGTTTTTGGATGTTCTCTCAGTCTGGCAACCTCTTGGTTTCTTATTTCTCAAAGATATTCCAACAAAGCACCCAGTACCTTACTCCTTTGGACAGGCCATACTGCCCTCTGCTGCTCCTCCCATGAGTTCTCCACCGACTCCCTCCACTCTTCATTCACAGCTGCTTCTTGATTCAAGTATGGATTATTTAACTATTGTTGGTATCCCATTGTTGCCTATGATCATTTTAGCCATCCTTTTCTGTCTTCATTCGAATATCCCCATGGACACTAATTTGAACTCTCTGCAGTTTTCTTCTGCATGCTTCCAGACTAATCATCTTAAAGCAGTTCTCCGATTTCACCACTCCCCTCATCAGAAATCAGCAATGACTTCTCATTGCTTTCTGAAGCAACTACAGGCTACAGATTCCTACTTGATACCGGATTGTCTAGTTTGACACTCAAGTAGGAGTTCCTCAAGTAGAAATGTTCTCAGGGTCTTTTTTTCTTCTCTCTCCCACATTCTCTCTCTCTCTTTCTCCCTCCCTCCTTCCCTCCCCTCCTGTCTCTGAAAATAGGGTCTCCTCATGTAGTCCAGTGTGGCCTTCAACTAGCGATCTTCCTCCTAAGTTCTAGGATTACAAATATGTACCACTATGCACACAGCATGCATGCTTCTCTATTAATGATTGTTTTTCCCCAATGGAACTCAGAGGTTCTTGTTTCTGGATGTTCCCTTGTGCCTTCTAACTGTAATATTTCTTTCTTTCACCTCCTATCTGTTAACTCTTAAGGTGTATCATGATTCTATGCTTAGAAAGCTTCCATGATTTTATCTGGAGACATTCTCCATCTTTTTTTTTCTTAAACTGACACAAATCAGCCAGACTCCCTTAAGGACTTTTCTTTCTTGTTTATCTCCACTAGACTGTGACTATTGAGAATATGGTCTGAATATTACACACCTTAGTTTCTTACGCTGAATACCTGCTAGAACACTGAAAGTAGGGCTCCTTGCTTCTGTGTCCGGCTAATAATTACTAGTTCTATATCTAACACATGGGATGCGTTCAGTACATATTTATAGAATAAAGAAATGAATAAATACCTATCTTGGCCTTTCTACCAGATGTATTTTCTTGTCAGACTTCTATCTTGCAACTTACCGGGTCTACCAATTCTCTTTGCTTTGATTGTCACTTTAATTTTTTCCTTTTATTAATATATATGAATTGTATAAATGATTTCATTGTAATTTCTCTCTCTCTAGATTATACATTGATCATATTTGCCCCCTTTATCTTTCTTTCTTATCCCCCCTCTCTCTTTTTTTTTTTTTTTTTTGGGTCCGGTCATGGGACCTGAACTCTGGGCCTGGGCACTGTCCCTCAGCTCTTCAGCTCAAGGCTAGCACTCTACCACTTGAGCCACAGCACCACTTCTTTTTGCTTATGTGGTGCTGGGGAATCGAATCCAGGGCCTCATGCATGCAAGGCAAGCGCTCTACCACTGAGCCACCTTCCCAGCCCCTCCCCTCTCTTTTACATCACGATTAAAAAAACCATTTTTAATGGTTTTGTTCATCCTAATTTTTTGGTGGCTTTGAATGCAGAGCTTTGTGTTTTTGCTAGGCAGGCACTCTACCACTCAAGCCATGGCCCCGAACGCTGATTGCTTATCAGTTATTTTTGAGGATATGTTTTACACTTTTGCCTGGGCTGGCCTAGACTGTGACTCTTCTATTGAAGTTTTTTGGGTAACCTTCAAGTCATGATCTTCTTGATTTTTTTTGCCTCTAGAGTAGTTAGGAATATAGATAAAGGGATCTGCAATGCCCATCCTATTTATTCTATTTTCATACATAATGTACTTGGTCATATTTATCCCCACCACCCTTCCCTTCCACTCTTTCCACTCCCAACAATTCCCTCCCTCAATCAGTTCCTCTTTTATGTCACACATATGATGACATGAATGTGCCACAATTATTACTATTATTATTATTATTATTTTTACCATTTTCCTGTCTATGTAACTTGGTTGTTGCCATATATGCTACAGATTGAGTGGCTCAAACCACAAATATATATTTCTCATAGTTCTGAAGGCTCAAAATTTAAGATGAAGTCACCAGCAGATTAAAGAACCTGTGAAATGTAGTTACCTGGTTCACAGACATCTTGCTATGTCCTCATGATAACAGATCTCTAGGATCTGTTATTTCTTTCTTCTTGTCCTCACACTGGGACTTGATCTCAGGGCCTCATGTTCTTGCTTAGCTTTCTTGCTCAGGTTGCACTCTGCTATTTGAGATAAGACTCCAATTTAATATTTTACTGGGTAATTGGAAATAGACCCTCATGGACTTTTCTGCCCAGGCTGACTTTGAACTGTGATCCTTAGGTCTCAGCCTCCTGAGTTGCTAGGATTTTTGATATATGCTGTCAGCGCCAGACTAGGATATTTTTTAAATAAGGGGATTAATTTCTAGTAAATGTATCCAGGTACCACTGTTGTGAATTATTTACTTCCCTAAGGCTTCACCTTTAAATTCTATCAAAGTGAGGTTTAAGATGTACACATACTAAATTTTGAGGGAATACAAACAGTCACAAACAGTCTATATTCACTCCCCTTCAGTGAACATTATTTTTGTTTTCAAATATGTTCTTTCTTTTGTGTAAACTGCTTATTGTAACTTTTGTCCATAATTCGATCGAAATTCGATTGAGATACTTGAACTATAAATGTATTACCAAGAGTTCTGTATATGTGGCTTGTCTTTTCACTTTATGCTGTGTTAAAATACTTCCATTTTCAATGCAGTTAACAGTATTACATTCTATGTTATCGTTCATATTGTAAGTGATTTTAGTGCCTTGTAAGATTATCTTTCTTATAGATAATCTTTCATATAGATAATCAAATAGTCCACCATCATTAAGTTGTCCTTTTCTACACTAGTTCATTGAGTCTCTTCTGTCATATATTAGATTTCTGTTTTTGTTTTCCTTCATTACTATAGATCTATAGTATTTTTTGTATCTGGTGGGACAAAGTCTTTTAACCCCTTCCTTCCTTCCTTCCTAGAAGCAGCCACCTATCTTTTATTTTTAGAAAATTTCAAAACTGAAAATTTCAAATTTAACTCAATAAACCATTTGGATTTTTCTTGGAATTGTAGTGTATCTGCAAATCAATTTTGGAACAACTTACTACATTTTATGAGATGGAATTATCCAAGAGTGTGGGATAATTTTTACATGATTAGTTACTGAAAATAAAGTTGTATTTTTTGTGGAGCTGGGGATTGAATCCAGGGCTTGGTACATGATTGGAAATCTCTCTGGCACCAAGTTACATCTCCACCAACATTAAGAAAATCACTTTGAAAAAAACTAAAAGCATAGATTTCTAGGTAAGTGATTTATTTCCTGTGGAACCTAAAAGGAAAACAAGGCAAACAAGTCAGTGACTGGGAGAAATCTAGGATGTCATTCAAGAACATGCCAGCAGGGGTCACTTCAGCCTGCTAGTCAGAGAAGCTATGGAGTATAAATTATGGCAAGACTTGTTTTGACTTAACACAAAGGAGTGTAGCATTCATACTTTCATGGCTGTTAAATAGAAGCTAGAGGCTTCTCTGGGGATGAGTTGGGGGCATAAAATCCCTAGTAATTTTCTCCATTCCTTAATGAAGGAAAATTGACTCTAGCAGCTCCAAAGCAGCAGATTTAACCGTTGGAAGTGAAAGCATATAAGTTAGGTGAAGAAAGCCAGACCCAAAGAAACATAGGTCCCATGGTTTCCCTTATTTGCAATAACTAGTATATGTCTAGGACAAGCAGAAAATGTCAAAAGCTATGTACATATGACCATATAAGATGATGCTAAGTGAAATGAACCCCAAGATAGAGACACAAGAAGGTTTTTTTCTTTGTCGCTGTTGTTTTTAATGTACTATGTGCTTTTTTTGGGTTTCTTTTGTATGCTCTTCCCCCATGGTATAATTCCTGTTGTTACTGTATTTTATTCTGGTGTCTTGCATCTTGTATATACATTTTTCTAATTTGGGGAAGGGAAGGGAAATAACAAACTGTTGAAGTAAGGATACAATTGACCCATTGTAACAATGAGATGTACAAGACACTATGTTGAAAACAAACTTTACAACTTGCAGGGGAGGGAATAGTTGGG